AAAAAAAAAAAAAAAAAAAAAAAAAGGGCTGCTTTAGAAAGGACATTTCTGTGCTGAAATTATACAGACTTAGCTAAGAGACTTCGCTAATTTACTTCAGATGGGAACATTGTAAACTGACTTTGTGCCAGCTAGTTTATATAAACGCACAAACAAAAGAACTGTATTAATTTTTTATTTAGAAGTAAAGATCATTCCTGTAAATTGAATTACTTTGAACAATGTGCTATGTAAACAGTCGTACTTGCCGAACGGTATCAAACGAAGGGCAGGCTTACGGAGCTAATAGCACGTGGTGATCGCCGCTCCCCGCTTGAATCACAGCCTGCCGTGGGGAGGGGGGAGCCCAGCACAGGGACGGGCACGTCCCGGCACCTCTGCCACCCAGGGGAAACTGAGGCACAGGGCACCGTGCAGGAAAGAGCACATGTCCCCATCACGCACCAGCCACGACCTGGGGGGGACATCCAGGCGGCCACAGACCGGTGTCCCCCGGTGCCAGGAGGGACCCCCGGCACGGCAGCGGCTGGCGGGGAGCGGAGCAGGGGCTGCAGAGGGCGCGGGGGCTCGTGGGGCCGCTGTCCCCTGCGGAGCTGCGGCACGAGCAGCGCCCGGCGAGGCCGGGGCTCAGCAGCCAGAGGCGGGGGCTGCACAGGCTGCGGCAGCGGCAACCACCGATGCTGCGCCTGCAGCTCTTGGCTGGCACCTGCCTCTGGCACCGACCGCGGCGATCGGGATTTACGCAAACGGGGCTGAGCCGGGGCTGGGCACAGGCACCCGCGGTCACCCAACAGAGACCGTCACCGCAGGGACCACCAGCAACGCAGGAATGGGGGGAGAAACGCCTGCGAGCAGGCTGCCCCAACCCGTCACCACGGGAAACAACGGCTCAAAAATAAAATACGTTAATTCACTGAGCTCGCAATAGCCCAGAAAACCCCGTCCTCTCAGGGCTGTGGGGCACAAGGCGAGGGGCACCCCATGGCCCCTGCCACCCGCCTGGCAGGGATGGGGATGGGGACAGGGCCGCGTTGCAGCTGGAGGGGCAAAGCCAGAGGCTTTCCCTGAGCCCAGCACTGCAGCCCAGGCCGGGGCATCACCAACATCTGCCGGAGCCGCCGGCTCAGGCCCCGCACGCGTGGTTTGTGGTCGGGCAAGCGGATGCTGCCGGCTCTCTGCGACAGTTAACGCTGGGAGATGGAAACTGCCAACAACGTTACCAGGAGAGACTCATCCCAGAGAGACTCATCCCACCTCCCCCAGGGGCGGCCGCAACATCTGGGGCGCGGGAAGAGCAGAGGCGGGAGGACGCCCTGGTGCGTCCCGGCTCTCACACGCCACTTGCACCCGGGTGCTGCAGCTCCCTGAGCCCTGCTGTCCACCCTGCCCCTGGGGATGGAGCAAGGGCCACCCAGGGCCACCCACAGCTCTGACATCCCTGTCCCCTCCGGGGCCAGCTCTGGAGGAAGACCCTAACAGAGCCCCCAGAGTCAGCTGTGGCTTCCAGGAATCACCCCAAACTGCCCAGCGGACTACCAGGGGGTGACCTCAGCGAGTCCATCTCCACGCCAAGCCACGGCAGCGCTCGAGCAGGAGCATCATCCCAGTGGGGCACGACAGCAAGGGGCAACAGAGGCCACCTGGGCCACAACCGAGCTATGCGCACTGGCCCACCCACGGCACCACCAGCTGTTTTGCTGTCCCGGCCCTCAGGGACACGCGTTGGGGCCGGTGACCCCACGCTCACATGCCCAAGGGCTGCCCAGCGAGGGAGGGAGCCGCAGGGGTCACAGCGGGGTGCTGTGGGAATCACACCCGGATCACACGGGGCCTCCCTGCGGCCGGAGCCGTGGGAGCTTGGCTGTGAGCAGCCCTCGCATCGCCCGGGAACGCAACGCTCTGCTCAATGAGCTCCAATTTTAATTTGGTTCTCCTCGAACTGATGGAGCCCTTGGATGCCAAACGCAATTATTTGACAAGACACATGAAACAGCAGCATTTGCTTAAAAATGCACACGAAGCCGCGGAGCCACGGCAGTGCCAGCACTTGCACAGCCCCTCCCGTGAACAGGGAAGGGAAGGTCGGACAGACCAGGCCTAAACGCCCTCACCGGTGGGCAGTGCCAGTGGACAGCCCCACGCCTGCCGGCCCCCCGGCTCCCGGGGAATTAAAGCTGGTGAGAGAAAACCCACCGTGTGCTCCGTGCAGAGCGCATCCCACCGCCCCTTCCCATCTGCCCTGGCTCCAAAGACCCGCACGTGTTAGCATGGGTTTTCTGCTTTGCTTTTGAAAAAAAACCAAAACCAAAACCCAACCAAAACCACACACTTTATCTGCAGCAAATGATAAATAATAATAATAATTTTTAAAAATAGGACAAAAGTCAGATTTGTGCTTTGCCAAGTGCCGGTCCCGGCTGTCCCGGGCTTGCCAGCCTCCGGGCCACGATGCTCCCGGGGCCGTGCGGGCGCAGGAGGGGGCCGGGGCTGGGCGAGCGGCCCCCGAGGCGGGTTTGCCAGCCCGGGGGATGTCTGCTCCGACCCGCCCCGGTCCTGGCGAACGGCTCCCGGCCGCAGACC